GAAGGATCCAGGTATAGGTCTAGTCTGAGAATGGTTTGAGACTCACCATTGCAATGCATCAGCAAAAAATCCAGCATTTTCAGAATAACATTCCTCACCAAGTGACTGCAAGGATTTTAGGTATTTCATTCTCTATGAAATGACATCAGAAGTTTCAAGGAATCTATTTGCATAAAAAGCAAAGCTCAAAACAACTACTGAATGATTATGATCTCTGACCCCTCAGATGGCACTGCATTAAAACCTGGCTTGTTTCTGTGATGGATACAGCCTCATATTTTGACCAGCTACCCATTGTCCATCCACAAATTCTTCTTCCTCGTGTCCAGCCGTCATCTATATCATGTCCTTCCAGTAGTTAACACAGGCAAGTGCAGCTGCATTTGGTTCGGCCAGGTCTTCTGTGGTGCATTGTGGGACAGAACTGCATCTCATGAGGTGTTCCATGGTTTGGAGTTCACTGCACATGCATGAGTCAGATGTTGTTATATTCCATTTCTTCAGGGATGCCTTGCAGCATCCCTCACCGACTCGCAGGCGGTTCAGGGTTTTCCAGACAGTCCAGGGTTGGTCATGGCCGGAGGCAAGGTGTCCATTTGGGGTGATCCCTCTCTCCATCCATTGGGCTGTCTGACTGCCTAGACTGTTCCAATGTTTGAGCCATTCACTGGCCCTGGCGCTGGCTGGGCTGGACTCCAGTACGTCTGTGGTGTCCAGGAAACTGCTCCTGGAGCTAAGTCATTTATGGGCAACACAGTGCACATGGAGTAGGTGCCGGATGTCATTGGCTTGCTTTGTCCTCTCAGCTTGGGTGGTAATTGCTCTCCGGATGTAAGGGGGAGCGATGCCTGATAGAGCATAGAGACAGGGGACTGGAGTTGTTTTAAGGCACCCAGTCACTATCCTGCAGGTCACATTGAGGATAGGGTCAATTCTGTGGCGGAAAAACACAGGGCTAATGCTGTTGTTTGCAGCATGCTTGGGTGGGCCCCCCACTTAGAGCTTGTTAATCGTCATAGCAGGTTGTTTCTGGTGGACACCTTGGCTCTTGTTTTCCTAATGTGTTTTCTATAACTCAGGGTACAGTCTAAGATTACTCCCAGGTATACTGGGTACTGGTTGTTTTCTAACCTTGTGCCATCCCAGGTTATGTTAAGCTCCCGTTTTGCTTCCCTGTTTTTGAGGTGGAAGCTGCTGATTTGGGTCTTCCCAGGATTTTGGCGCAGGTGGTTTTGTAGATAGTACATTGACATATCTGAGAGGCCTTTTTCCATGGTTGACTCAGCTTCTGGGAAGCCATGCTGCTGCGTTGCCAGAGCTAGGTCATCCACATAGATGAACCTGCTGCATCCTTCTGGTAGGGGCTGGTCGTTGGTACACACATTGAACAGCAGAGGTGCCAAGACACTGCCCTGTGGCAGCCCATTGGTCTGGTGGAACCATCTGCTTTTCTTGTTGTTGAGTATGACGTAGAACATCTGGTTGCTCAGGAGGCATCTGATTACACTGCATAGTTTAGCATCGCCTGTCATGTCATATAGTTTTTTAATCAGCAGCCTGTGTTGAACAGTATCATAGGCTGCTGTCAAGTCGACAAAAGCGACGGCGGTTATCATCTTCTTTTGATATCCGTCTTCGATGTATTGGGTTAGGTTCTGCAATTGTCCTGTGCATGACTTTCTGGGTCTAAAGCCAGCCTGGTCATCGGTTAGCTGGTCATCTATCTGTGAGGATAGACATGTGAGGAGCAGTCTCTCAAACAGCTTGTAGGTGAAGCATAGTAGGGAGATAGGCCGGTAGCTTTTTGGGAGCTTGGGGTCTTTCCCTGGTTTTAGCAGGGCGATGGTGATAGCTTTCCCCCAGTGGGTTGGAATATACTGAGTCTGGAGGCATATGTTAAACATATTCAAAAGCCATAATTTGGGGAGTGGGCCTAGGTGAGTTATCATCCTAGTCATTATGTCATCAGGACCCGCTGCTTTGCGTCATGGTGCCAAGTCCTGCTTCAAACTCTTCCATAGTGAAAGGCTTGGTTAGTATAGACATGCTCTGTTGGTTTTCTGGGATGATGGTATAGTGATGGTATCCTTTAGCCCTGCACCTGCCTATTCATTTCCCATTGGCTGCCAGTTGGCTCCCGACCTTGTTCGGTGTGATGACTGGTATGGTTGGTGGTGTGATCCTCTCTCCACTTAGTTTATGGATGGTGGCCTAGGTTTTTTGCTATTATGAGACATATTGGTGTTTTCTATAAGGCTTTGCCAGATTCTCTGCCTCTCCTTTCCCAGAAGTTCTATGAGTGTCTCTCCTAATTCGTGAGTGGTATCTGAAAATGGGTCCTTTTCAAACTCTGTTTCATATTGCTCCAGCAGCTGTGACGATTCCTCTGTGATGCCAGCTATGTGTTTTTTTTCGGCATCCGCGAGGTATGTGAGCACATGCTGTCTTCTTCACAGCCTGGACAAACTTGGCATAGTTGTCAGGTGAGGGTTCAACACCCAGAAGAGCATTTTCCATTCCCTCTCTACAATAGTCCCATTTGGCCTTCTTGAGGTTGAAACGGCATCTGAAGGGGACTTCAGACTTTGTTATGGCAGACTTTATAGTGACTGAGATCGGGCAGTGTTGTGACTTTGGGAGCGGTTGTAGCACTACTTTCTTGCTCAAACGTGCTAGTCTCTGGCTGGTGAAACACAGATCTGGGTTGTAACCTCTTTTCCAGCGGCCGCTGTTAAAGGACTTTGGGAGTTTAGCGTCATGTATGAACTCCAGCTGTATATTTTCCATCCAGCTTTCGACTACTTCACCATCACTGTCAATAGAGTCATAGCCCCACATTGTGTGGCGAGAGTTAAAGTCTCCAATCACAAAAGCATCTTTCTTTCTGCATTTGGATGGTAGGTCGGGCCATACAAAGGGGCTGGCAGGTGGTTTGTACAGAGAGGTGATGGAAATCTCTGCTGGTATGAATGTCACTGACATCCAGCTGGGGCTTTGTGAATACGGCTGATCCATACTTAGGATGACAGATTTAAGCTACCAGTTCCATGCCTGGTAATTTTGGCCATTTGCTCATTGGGCCCAAATGGGTCTCCTGCATACAGACAATGTCTGATCTGTCACAGTGGCTAGCTAGCAAATCAGCCTTTATTATAGTGTATCCTTCAATGTTAATTTAGATCACTACTAGCGCTAACATCGTGGCTTGCTGTGTTATCAAGAAAAGACTTGATTCTCGTTGGCGGTCGGTAGGTGCAGAATTGGCTACTTCAGTCAGTTACTGTAGTACAGTTCCTGTCCTCAGCATTGCCCGGGGTGCGCCACGTGGAGGCTTCTGCATGCATCTCTATCCACAAATGGAAGTACTGTGCACAGTGAAAGTCAAAAGAAGAAAAGGACAACCCAGATTGTTTCCAGCATAAAAAATTCAAAAGTTGGGGGCTATCATAGTATATGACAATGAATGTCCTGCACAGTTGCACTGCTAAACACTTGTATAACAGCCGAATGGCAAAATCCACTTTAATGGATCAGTTTGTGTCTTTAGTCACCCAAATGATTTATGAAGTGCTATTAAAAAAAGGTGATGTAACACAAGGGTAAACATGCTCCAGTCTCGATTTTTTTGGAATGTGTTGCAGGCATTAAATTTGGAATTACCATAGATTTACCAAAAAATATGTTAATGAAATAAAATACAAAATATAAGTTTTGCACCATTTTTTCAATTTGATACAGATCAAACATAATTTACTAATCACTAATTCAACACTAATTATTAATTCCACCCTGAATGAGCAGGGAATCCTCAATATCCCCTTTGAAGTGGAATGTTGAGGATCCATCGTTCCATTGTTATGGCATCTGATGAAAAAAGTTGAGACCTCACAAGAGGAAACCAGCTGTTGGAAGTTTGGAAGAAGGCATGGAAAGTTCTTTACCCATGCCATAATACTGTTAAATTTCTGCTTTTTATGTTTTGAAATTTGACAGAATCCTCACCTGAGTATTTCCAATTTACAGCATGAACTCCTTAGTCCAACAGAGAGAAGCTGCACACCTGAATCCTGCAGGTCATTGTCACTGAGATGTAGTTCTTTCAGGGAACAGTTTGCTGATTGTAGAGCAGAACAAAGAGTTTTACAGGAGACCTTGGTGAGATTACAGCCAGGTATTCTGCAAAGGAATAAAAAAACACATCACATATAACAGTTAAAATGGTGCATGGGAGATCAAATTTCACCAGACTTATGACATTTTTTTTAATGACTTGATCTTTGGGTTTTGAGTCTGGCCAAATGTCAAACTCAGAAGTAACTGCACTATGCAATCAAAATTTGCAGTGTAGTAATGAATTTATTCATAAGGTCACCATGCCAGTGATTGGAGCACCAGTCTTTCCAGACCACTATGGTATGTTTGTGTGTCCTAGGTAAAATACATTAAAATTGCCATGTTAATAAATTAATGTATGCTAATGAGCAATGTCCAATACATGTTTGAATGTCAAAATGGACATGCTACTCCAAAGAAAAACAAACAAAAATAAGATACAATAAGATACAGACCCTAATATAAGATAAGATTTACAGACCCTAAGAATGGAAAAGTATTCTGGTAAAAAAAACAAAACAAAAAAAAACTAGGCAATTTAAAAAAAAAAAAACATTCAACATCAAACAGTTCAACTTTGAAACACAATATAATATAATATAATATAAAAAAGTCAAGTCATGAGAAAAAGATATGTCAACCACAGCCACAGATTCACAAAAGCTTCTCAGAGTATAAGTGCTGATCTAAGATCAGATTCCTGTGTAGGAGAGCTGATCAGATTCCTGGGTATGTGTGCTGATCTGAAATCAGATTCCTGTGTAATAGTGCTGCTTTAAGATCAGATTCCTGTGTAGGAGTGCTCATCTAAGATCAGGTGTCTGTGTAGGAAAGCTCATTTAAGATCAGATTCCTGTGACAGGAAACTGATGTGGACATACATGAGAGTGTGATTATGAGAACTGTACAAATCATTTATGTATTTATTTATTTAGTCAATCAAGCCAAGCTAGGAAGATGAAAAATGAACATACATGGAGTGTTGTCTAGTGTGTTTTTATGTATTAACTTGTTATTTATGTATGTACATTTAGAATGGCTGTATTTTTTTTTATTCCAAAACTATGGGCATTAATATGGAGTGTTCAGTTAATGACTTTTTAAAAATGAAGCATCAGCTGGATTCAAATCATCTCCTGACAATAGTGTGAAATAATCTTAATTGGCTGTGCCACTGATAAACCCAGTAGGATGCACCCCAGCTTTAACTATACCAGAATAACACAGGCTGAACTGGTGAATATAAACACAAATTACAAAGATGGTCAGTATAACAAAGACAATAACAGAATGCCATTATAGCACAAAAAACTTTAATATGGGCTTACACTACATGATTTTTGCCCAATATTAACCCCAATTTGCCTCTTGTGACAAATGTTCACAATATAAAGCAATTTTCCAGGTCAGGAGCTTGATTGGAAGCAACTGACAGAGTGGATAATCTGTGTGAGATGAGAAACGAGTGAATCTTTGGCCCTCCGATGGAACTCTGAAGTGCTCAGAGGACCTCCGATATTATCAAACATGTTTGATATTTAAGACTCAAAACATTCATGAGTCTTGTAGTGTGAGAAAGTCAGAGATGAACTTAGTGAGTGATTCAAACTACAGCCAACAGCCAGGTAACAGTGCAAAAGGACAAAAAGGGCAAACACAGAAACCAAAAAGTGAGGCAAAGGTTTCTACTAATACCAAAAAAAAAAACAATGCAAATGCACAGTGTACACACACAAAGAGACTGGCAATACGTCACTCCAAAAGGCTGTGTTTGGGGACCCACTTTTCACCCTGTGGTTGTCAGATGAAAGGCCCATCATCATAAAAGAAACCTTTCAGTATAATCTGTTGTTGTAAATATATTTTAGAATTCCATATGAAGTGTGGATGTGTGACTAGATCTCTATGGAGTTATATAGTTTTGTATGTGAGTGCTTGGCTGGCAAAATCACTATAAAAACCCAATCCATTAAGATTCCAAAAAACCTGTTCTTGTGCTGCTGTTCCTTCTAGATGCAGTTTAGAACTGGTATTAATTGCTGCAGGCAAGGACAGATTATTATAATGTGCTACATGCTTCATCATCAGCTGTCTCATTCTATGAGTGGTGTGGCTCACTGCTTCACAGCTGAGTTATGACTGCACCTACACATTTCCACATCACAGTAACAGCACTTAGAGTTGACTAATTAGGCAGAAATTTTGATCAACTGACTTGTTGCCATAAGCTAACAGTACCACTATGAAGTCATCACACACTCCAGCATGGGCAATTTCTTTCATGGCAAGGCTGTAAACTTGAATTTATGCACCTGTAAGAAATGGGTGTGTCTGAATTAGCTGAAACCACTAATAAGAAGGGAAGTTCACATACACAAATAAGACTGTCAGAGACATATTTTTCCTAAAGAAATCTACGCTAGTCTTTCATGTCACCAATTACTAACCTGTATCTCTCCTTTCCTTCCTTTCAAAAATCCTCAAGTGCTCTGCCAATGAATACTAAACTATAAATTCACTATGATCTCTTTGAGACCTCCCTGGTCATTCCATCTGAAGACAAACTGTCTAAAACCTTGGTGCAGTCCTGTAAAATCTTTTTCAGCACATGTTGCAAACCTGACATGGTTACACAGGTTTCTCCTCTATAATAATCAAAAGATTAGACTATTTTCCCAAGGAGGCTACCCCATGTACTTCTCTTGCTGTTCCTTGCTGTCTTTAAATGCAGACTAAAGACCATCAAACTTTTACCATTGTTATGGTCATTGTAACTGAAATGTAAGGCACTACTTTTTACCTATGTATTTCTGGGTATTATTGAATATCATATCTTAATATTTATAATTTAAAATCTAATTTATACAGTACATACCTGAGTATCTCCAGTTTACAGTGTGAACTCTTCAGTCCAGCAGAGAGCAACTGCACACCTGAATCCTGCAGGTAATTGTTACTGAGGTCTATTTTTTTCAGAGAGGAGTTTGCTGATTGAAGAGCAAAGCAAAGAGTTTCACAGGAGTCCTTGGTGAGATTACAGCCAACTAGTCTACAAAGGAATAATAAACACAACACACAAAATAGTTAAAATGGGGGTAGGGAAGAGTTCTTCTTTAATGACTAGGACAAAACCCATGACCTGGAGATCCTAGGGAGGGTGCATAACCCCTGCACCACCACCACAGTGATGAAGAGCAAGTGTTGAGGGGTTTTAAGCAAAAAGAGAGAGAAAAAGGTGGGAAAAACAACAGCCGGAGGAGAAAACAACAGACAAAACTAAAGAAACACAACAACAGCATCTGTAAACAAATGAAAGATTTCAGAAATATTGGTGGGGGGGGATTAACAAACAGAACACTCAGGGACTCCCATATCCTAGGTTTGGCT